GATTGTGAGAGGGATGTCCAACTGCCGGTTTAAGCCCAATCTGGATCAGGCCTAAACCGGCAGTCAGATTCCCCCAAGGGGTCCCAGATTGGAGAGGGTGCAGGCTGGGCTGAGGGACTCTAGTCTACACTAATAAAAGGGAAACATGGTAATTGGCGTACGACCGCTACCCTTCCCATTGGCTAATCAGGGAGATATGTAAATTAACTGACAGCCAAGATGGCAGCTGGCAGCCAGGCAGCTTAAAGCGAACATGAGGCTTGCTTCCTTCATTGAAGGAGGAAGCCAACATTCCCCGCCTGCGCGCTGCCGGCCTCTGAGCTGGCAGTTTGAAACTTTGTAACACTTTCAGCCGGCTGGGATCTCAGAGCTGGAGTTATACATTGTTTCGATTATAGAACCAGCAGCGGAAGCCTCAGAGCTAGAGCCAGAGCTAAAGCTGGCCCAGAAAAAAAAAAAAAAAAAGAAAAAAAAGGAGCGATTGGGAGCTTCAGTTACCCGCAGAGCCTGAAAACAGCCCTCAGCCCCTCACCCAGACTGGCCAGGCACCCCAGTGGGGACCCCCACCCTGAAGGGTGTGTGACCAGCTGCAAACAGCCATCATCCCCTCATCCAGGCTGGCCAGGCACCCCAGTGGGGACCCCCACCCTGAAGGGTGTGTGACCAGCTGCAAACAGCCATCATCCCCTCATCCAGGCTGGCCAGGCACCCCAGTGGGGACCCCCACCCTGAAGGGGGTGTGACCAGCTGCAAACAGCCATCATCCCCTCATCCAGGCTGGCCAGGCACCCCAGTGGGGACCCCCACCCTGAAGGGGGTGTGACCAGCTGCAAACAGCCATCATCCCCTCATCCAGGCTGGCCAGGCACCCCAGTGGGGACCCCCACCCTGAAGGGGGTGTGACCAGCTGCAAACAGCCATCATCCCCTCATCCAGGCTGGCCAGGCACCCCAGTGGGGACCCCCACCCTGAAGGGGGTGTGACCAGCTGCAAACAGCCATCATCCCCTCATCCAGGCTGGCCAGGCACCCCAGTGGGGACCCCCACCCTGAAGGGGGTGTGACCAGCTGCAAACAGCCATCATCCCCTCATCCAGGCTGGCCAGGCACCCCAGTGGGGACCCCCACCCTGAAGGGGGTGTGACCAGCTGCAAACAGCCATCATCCCCTCATCCAGGCTGGCCAGGCACCCCAGTGGGGACCCCCACCCTGAAGGGGGTGTGACCAGCTGCAAACAGCCATCATCCCCTCATCCAGGCTGGCCAGGCACCCCAGTGGGGACCCCCACCCTGAAGGGGGTGTGACCAGCTGCAAACAGCCATCATCCCCTCATCCAGGCTGGCCAGGCACCCCAGTGGGGACCCCCACCCTGAAGGGGGTGTGACCAGCTGCAAACAGCCATCATCCCCTCATCCAGGCTGGCCAGGCACCCCAGTGGGGACCCCCACCCTGAAGGGGGTGTGACCAGCTGCAAACAGCCATCATCCCCTCATCCAGGCTGGCCAGGCACCCCAGTGGGGACCCCCACCCTGAAGGGGGTGTGACCAGCTGCAAACAGCCATCATCCCCTCATCCAGGCTGGCCAGGCACCCCAGTGGGGACCCCCACCCTGAAGGGGGTGTGACCAGCTGCAAACAGCCATCATCCCCTCATCCAGGCTGGCCAGGCACCCCAGTGGGGACCCCCACCCTGAAGGGGGTGTGACCAGCTGCAGCGAGAGGGCACAGGCCGGGCTGAGGGACCCCCCCCAGTGCACAAATTTTTGTGCACCGGGCCTCTAGTATATATATAAAAGCCTAAGCAACCATTACGACCAGTCGACCACTCAACTGCTAGACCAGTCAGTATGACACACACTGACCACCAGGGGGCAGACGCTCAACACAAGAGCTGCCCCCTGGTGATTAGTACACTCCCACAGCAGGAGCCACTCTCAATCAGAAGCCAGGCTCACAGTTGGCAAGCACAGCTGTGGCAGCGGGAGCCTCTCTCACCTCTGCAGCAGCGCTACAGAGCAGTGGCAGCAGGCACAGCAGGCAAGGGTGAGTGGGAGCGGCATGGCACCCGGCCCTGGCTCTGGCTCCTCCCCGGCTGCCTGCCACTCGTGCACTGCTACATCCCGGGGATCAGACCAAAACCAGCAATCCGACATCCCCCAAGGTGTCCCAGATTGCAAGAGGGGGCAGGGCAGGTGGAGGGACCCCACCGGCGCATAAATCCATGCACCGGGCCTCTAGTATAATACATATGGTTAAATATTCAATGGTCACTATATTATTTTTAAAATTGAAATAATAGTTAAATTAAGAGTGAAACAAAGCATCTTTTATAATGGTGAAGGGTACAACTGCATGTAGTGAAAATATTACTGACTTATCTATGTGCTGAATATCATAGTAACAAATGGGTCAAAACATCTGGGTCTGCAAGGACAAATAGGTATAAGTAGCTAGGTGCTTTAACACAGTTCTTCTTCTTAATACAAATAAAATAACCAAAAATTACATGAGAACTGACTAAAATAAAATTAATAAGAATTTAATTAAACCCAGTACTCTAAAAAAAAAAGGGCATTTTCTTTTCAAGTAACATGAAAAAAGTAATCAAATTTTTTTCATATATCTGGTGAAAGGAAAAACTCAATACATTATTTAAAATTGAAAGAATACAAATCGCAGTCATGAGAATACAATCTAATTTTTAAAAGCAATAGAAAGTAAAAGTAAAACCTGTATCCAGCTCCTTGAATATTTAAAAGCATGCTCCTGAACTTCTTTTGAAGCAAAAAGTAAATTAAAACATCAGTTGCTGAAAAAATTAGTAAGAATAACCCTTCACTTCAAAATTCATGAGATGTAATCAAAGCACTAACTTGGAAGAAAAAAAAATGGGAGGAAGACAATCATTATTTTGTTTTGTAGCTATTATCATCACTTTTAAGAGAGAGACAGAGATAGTGAAGGGTAAACTGACAAAAAGGACAGAGAAAAGTGGTCAGAGAAGTCCCTGGTCATTGTTGTCACCATAACAACAATAGTAACAAGGTGGGCTCTGGACTCAGGGCCTGCAATCAGATTCTCTTTCTCCCATGTACTAACTGAGTGACCATCAGCAAAGTTCCCCATTTTTATTTTTATTTTTTCAGTTGCAGGTTACATTCAATATTATTTTGTATTTGTTTCAGGTGTAGAGCATAGTGGTTAGATAATCTCCCAATTTTAAAAATAGGGATAATAGGTACTTTTTCATGAGGCTTTCATGAAGAGTAAATAGGTTATCAAAGGCAAGAACAGTGTCTAGACAAAGTAAATTCCCAATAAAATTAGCCACTTGAAATTACAAGAATGCAACCTGAAAAGAGAGGGGGAAGATAAAGATGGTAGCCGGCAAGAGCATATAGTGTACCCACATAACATTTTGCGGGGGGGCGGGGGGTGGCGG